ATATATATATATATATATATATATATATATATGGTGCAATATAAAAAATTACATTTATATAAAATAACCAAAACAACCAGAAAGACTACTAAGATTGACCATATATATATATATATATATGTGGTGCAATATAAAAAATTACATTGATATAAAATAACCAAAACAACCAGAAAGACTACTAAGATTGACCAAAACAGGGAAAAAAAACAATAATTTTACCATGTTTATAAATCCCCTCTATCATGAAACGTGGTATATACACCACTAACACCAGCTTTTATCTTAGACTTTAATATGTATTAAAATGAGAAAATAGGTTTAAATTAAAAGACATGTCATCCTTTTTAAATACAATTATATTGTGATATGTATATTGATATTTAATGATTGTTTAGCCCTATTTAAATGTATGAATAACTAAAGTTATACTGTGTACTAAATCTTCATGGAAGCAGTCTTTTGTGATTACACATTAAATTGCTGTGACAATTGTAATTCAAATTTTCTGTTTACGAAAATTTTGTTTATGAAAAATTGTTTTTTTTGTTTTCTTCCTCCGATACACCCTTTGGACTTCCATAACTTATGGTGACATTAAGGCATCACTTTTTCTACTTAGATATATACTAAACTAATAAACTAGTGTGTAACACCACTAGCAGCAAACATTTTGGCTGTGTCCGAATGTAAGCCCTATATAGTGGTAATGCCATTTTAATGTCCGAATGTCTAGTGGATGAAAAAGAAAACTTCCCACAATGCACTTCCAACTGTAGTGTGCATCCTTGGTTGCTAGACAAGCAGCTATATTCCAGAATGCAAGAGATCTCCTCACAAAGCATCATGGGATTGATTTTGGGGCTGAGAAAGAAAAAAAATGGTGCATGCACAGTGAAGGGAACTGGAGTCACGTGACCAACTGGGAGCAAAAGGTAGTGATAATCTGTCCGAGTGGTCAGTTAAATGAGTTCACTATCAACTCTACAATAGAGTCACTGTTCTATATAGTGATTGAGGGTTTAGGGCGGACTGGACACAGCCTTATGTTTTCATTGATTGTTGGGAAACATGATTGCTTTATAGCATTTTTCACAGCTTAAATTTTGATGCACATTATATTAAGGTCACCTCACAGAGAGGGTAATTAAAATAAAAGCTAGTTTTTGAAATCAATGTGTTTTTGTTTTTGTTTTTTTTTACTTTAAAACAAATAAACAAAACAAAAAACTATTAGTTTAAATTGGTAGGAAATAATACATTTTATTTTTTATATTTTGTTCTGAATTAATTGCAATTTTATTAAATTACCAAAAAGTTTGCTTCAGTAAAGCACCACACTTCAGATGCAGTTTGATTTTAAAACAGATTCTTTATGAACCCATTGCATCCTGAGTTTCTGTAAGAGGGAAAAGAAAAGAAAAAACACGTACACATTAGTTTAGACTTATTATCCATGACTGTATCCAAATCTGATAATCTTTTTAACATTAGTATTTGGCTTTCAAAAATGCCCTGAATATGGTTGAAGATGTTTGTTTTCTTCTAAAAATAGTTGAGTTTAGCTTTCACATTGTTCTCGAATATTAATTTAGTATGCTGGAGGAATTTATTTGTTTTAAATGTTCTTAACAGCAGTGTTTACAGTTTTATAAGTGGAGTGTAATTTGAACGTTTCTTTTAAACAATCATATGTCTTGTAATGTAGATAAGAGTCTGTGTATATTGATAAATGTTTTACATTTCTGACTTTGCTTTAGCAAACGATTTGTACAGTTTGTTTTTCCTGAAGCATTAGATTATCTCCTGAAGATAGCACAATCTGTCACAATGCTCTCTTAGTTTAAGTGGGATTGACTCTTCTCTTTTTGTCTCTTATCTTTGCTTTTACTATTAATACTGCTTTTTCTTTGCTGGCTTTGCAGTTTTCCGCTGCATGTTAGAAATGGCCATAATGTTAGTTTGAACAGCCTTTAAGAGCCACCCGATATACTCACCTTGAGAATAAACTGTTCTGTTACCATGCTTGGACTTTTTAGAATCACATGGGGAAATGGTCTATCAGAACAACAGTGGTTCACCTTTCATTGAATGTAAAGTGCATTTTTGGAGTTTGTGGCAAAGCACTAATTTACTTTAATTTGTGCAATTTCAAAAAAAAAAAAAAAAAAAGTTATTTGTGAACTAAACATTCATTCCTTCTGACTTGCAGATGTGAAGCTGATCCCTCTGCCTTGGCCAACTATGTGGTGGCACTTGTGAAGAAAGACAAACCAGAGAAGGAGCTGAAAGCCCTTTGTGCTGACCAGCTCGATGTTTTCCTACAAAAGGGTAAAAACTTTTGCTTAAAGCTTCTTTATTCTTGCTGCACTTCTGGTCGTCGCCTGTTTTGTCATGGTGGAAGTTGGTTAGAGAAGTATTTATAACCGTGTGAGAAATGTTACAGACTTTTACCAGTTTGATTTATTTTTCATTTGATATCTGTTTTAATCCATTGATTAAATGCTGATTTACATCAGTTCTCTTTTGACCTACTATGGAACTAGAATGGCATTAGAAAACGTTTGTGTTTTGTTGATGCATATGAACTGAAAGAAGGGTAAAGGGATATAAATGGGTTGCAGTGTGTGATGTAATGGCGCAGCTTACACGTGTATTTATAAAGATAAGAAAAATTACACCAGACGCTGCAAAGTACACCCTGCAGCAACAAGTTTCTGAGCAGTAAGGCTCTTACCCTACATGGGGAGATGATTTAATGAGTTATATATGGGTAAGTTATGGGGCGACCAGATCTAAAAAAAAAAAAAAATGTGGGACAACTAGGATGCTGATCAGAGACAATGCTGGACATATGTGGGTTTTTCAGCTGTGTGTTTCTTTTGCAACTCATTTTTACAATGTTGCATCCCCCCTAGTATCGAATTTAAAACAACTTCTGCAATGTTCACAAAAAAGCTCTTTGAGAATCAACTTTCAACAACTCACTTAGTTATGGACCATTCTGCAGTCTTTCCGTTGGCTGTGTTTTATTTTCTTTAAATGTAGTTTCCAAAATATTTTGCATTAAATCGTTTACTTGTTCAATTTCAATAGCATCGTGCGCAAGTTGGTCATGGTATGGGAACCTGTCACAGCTTTGGGACAATAACTGAAGCTCTGCTTTCTTTGCATCTAGAAAAGGTGCCTGTAACTATAGATTAGACTATCTTTTTTAATAATTATGAAGTTAGGAAATTTCCATTACTTTATCCCATATTTTGATTTATTTAAAAGTCAGTTTCTAGATTTAAAAATATGGAGAAATGAACAACTTTATGGTTCTTGTTATATTATTTTGTAAAAGGAGCATCTTAGCCTTAATCTTGTTTTCCCATTTCTGGAATCAGAAGCTCAACTAAAATAGGTAATATTATTAGTATTCTTAGTATTATGTTAGTATTATGTTAGTATTTGTTATGTAAATAATTAAACTTTTTAAAATGAAATGCTGTCCCACATGTAACCTATGTGTTGCATGCTTCTGTGCTACACTTGCTACACTAGTATTTTTATCTTAAGTTACTGTGTCTTTATTGCCTTTGTGGGCTGAACAATCACATAGTTTCAGTGCTGAGCTGCCAATCAAGGGAACATTTCACATGTTTGATCACTGGGTCGAGTATCCCCTGGTGAAATAGATATGAATAATTTTAAAATTGGATGTTATTTTAAGAGATTTCTATAATGTGTATGTAAAGATATAAATTTCATGTGCAGTTATTATAAAAATATAAATATATTCATCCACATCATGCAAAATTGGTGTCTGGAAATGCTCAAGTTATCTTGAAGGGTTTTAGATTAGTTACATTTATGAAAAAGGCATTGTTTAAGATTATCTCCAAAATGACGAGCTGTATGCCTCATAAACATAATGTGTGTCAGAAGGGTAGTCAAATGTTCTCAACCTGAGAATGGGAGAAGTTTGCATGTTTCAAAATGGAATCATGTAAATAATTCACCAGGCTTTTTAACCACAGAGTTCACTTTTCACTTTTAAGACCACTAGAGGGAGTGCTAAATAAAAAAATAAAAAAAAAGAACTGTAAAGATCAATTACTTTTTTTTTCAGTCATCTGATAAAAGCCTGGGATGCCAATACATCCGACTGATTACTCAGAAAAAATGTTGACTAATAGAAGTTGTTTTTTCTTTTTTCTAGAGCATATAACAATCTATTGTAACAGTGTTATTTTGCCTGTTCTTTCAAATTTTACCTTTCTGAATCTTTGCAATTACTCTACTTGTAATATAATGTGATATATATATATATATAATGAGGCTGAAACAATTATTCAGATTAATCCTGATTAATAGATTATTGAAATAATCGTCAACTAATTTAGTAATCGATTAATCGTTAACTGGACTACAAAGACTGTAAAACATGCATTTAGCTGACAGAGCAGCCCACTTAGAGCAGTAATTATATACAAATTGTAGAAAAAAGTAAACATTTTGCATTTAAAATAGAAAATATTTATTTTTCACCTGTTAAATGTGCTGTATCCACAACTCCTCAAGGGTAGACATTTGAGTTTCACCTGGATTAACTCTGTTAAAAGTCTTCTTTAAGGAATCTTTTGCTATGTGATTATTAAGCGATTATTCTAAAAAATAATCGACAGATGAATTTATTTAAAATAACCGTTAGTTGCAGCCCAAATATATAAAATCACATAATGTCATACGTGATAATTATGTCATATTTTAATGCAGTCAACCATTGCTTTTCCAGTGTCTTATTTTAAGATGGGCTTTACAGTTATATCTTCTTTTTTTTCAACTTATAGTCTACATATTTTTAAAAAATTATATTATCCTGTATTATGCAATATTTTAAAGGATTGTGTTAAGTTGAACAAAGCTATATTTTGATAATAATTAATTGATGCAATACAAAAAAAGTACTGGTTTACTAAAGGACTACAGTAGTATTGTCATATTTTCTTCTCTTTGTTTTTCTGTCTCAGCTACTATAAAACTATATGTTTGCAACATTATTTTTTTATTTGTTTCAGAAACTGTGAAGTTTGTTGATAGCCTTTTTGAGTCGTTAACAACAAAAAACTACCTGGGTAACCCTGCTGCTAAGGAGGCTCCAAAAGAGGAGGTTAAACCTGCTGCAAACAAGGCTGACGTCGTTGAGGTAAAAACAGTCAGCAGTGACAGATTTTACTGAATAACTAAAGCGTTACCTTAAAGTTTGATAAAGAACGGAGCTGTCTGTTGTTGTTTCCTATTTTAAGATTTACATCAAAACAGTGATGTTTGTCATTTGAAATCTCTCCCTGTGTAACACAACCGTCATTTCCCTTTAGGCTGAAACTCCAGAGGAGGAGAGAGAAAACAGACGCAGGAGGAGTCCCCTGAGAAACCGCCCTGACTTAAACGAATCCAGGCAAGGCTATTTCTTTCTAACTCTATTTATTATTGTTGCTGCATTTTTATGACTCCTTAGCAACTTGAAGCAGGCTGACAGTCTGCTTTTTTAAGTTGTCAAAGCTAAAGCAAACCTGACTGTAAGGTCGGCCTCAGAAAGGTTCCTCAGGGGTGTTGGGGAGGATGTTGTGCCTGATAGTTGAACCTCAGATCCAGAAGGAACAATAATGCTTCAATCTTGGCCTTTACCAGATCTTTCCCCTCGCTTTTATAAAGGCTGTCTAAACCTTGTATGCTGCCATGCAGCTAGTCTGGTTCATGGTGTTCATGGATCGTATCTGTAGGTGTAGAGAGGAGTCGTCTGGATCAGGAACCTCAGCCTCACATCTTATCTTTCTGCAGTTAATGATGTTCTGTGAAATGGTTGAAGTGAGAGACATTTAGGCGCAGCCTAGCTCAGAGTTTTAAGGTATAGTGGAC